TAGGTCACTCATGTATAGCTCTATTTATTTTCTTTAGAAGCCACTTTGAAGATACCAAAGTATAGCACAACAACTCTTGAAAATCTCATACCTCTTTTGTCTCTAACTCACTATTATTTGTCTATTTGTTTTCCTGAGAAACTATTTTGTAGATAATAATATGTAAAACGATAACCATTGATAATTTTGTACTATTTTGTCTGTAATTTGCTAAGTCCCCCCTATTATTATGTTATCCTTCTTTTATTCTTTAAAAAAAAAAAAGTAAAGAGCAACTGGGATGAGGGAAAAGAGAAAAGAAAGAAGGGGAAAATTATGTAATATGTATATACAGGACAGCTAACATAGTTGTACTACTGACTTCTATTGCTTTACTGAAAGGAACAGTTAATGATTAATTATTTGATCAATCTTGCATGTCTCTATTTGTTTTCCTGAGAAACCACTTTGAAGAAATCAATATGTAATACAACCATTGTTAATTTCCTATCACCTTGTCTGAATTTCAGTATTGCTTGTATTGTTCTTGGGTTATTTTGTAAATGTACGTGTGTTTGTTAACATGTTTTCATTCTTTTATTTTTAAAATAAAAAAAAAAAAAAGGAAAGTCCCAGCAGTGAATGAAGCCTGAGGTGGAGGAGTGTCAGGTGTCATGCACAGGAGGCTCAAAGGACACTGCACAATCCTTTTATTCCAACGCCCGACCCACGGGTAATGGGTGAGATGAGCCCGCTGTGGCTGACGTCCTGACTTGAGATACGAGGAAGGTAGGGAGGGGATGCTAGTGTGGATAGACAGATGGGAGGTTGTGTAGGAAAGATGAGCTCGACTTTAGAAACTTTTGCTTGAGGTACAGAACAAGGATTGAGAAATGACAAGTGTTCCCTTGGAAGGTCAAGCACAAAGCTTGCAAGAGAGGTTAGAGTGAGAAATACATACTGGTGAGTCAAGGGCACAGAGGTGCCAGGTACAGTTTTAGGGTTCGATGACCTCAGTGAGGGAGAATACACAGAAGATGACGGGAGAGGCAGGAAAGGACGGAAAGAAGAGTGAGGTAAAGGGACTTTCCCACAGATGTAAGGGAACAGCCTGAAGAGAAAAGAGTGGTAACAGGGAATATCCGTGACACAAGAACGAGGAAGAGGCTGAAGGGGATAAAAAAAAGTAGTCAAAATTTAAAATGAAGGGAGGAAGGCTGAGGAGGTCCACGCACCTTGCCATCTCAGCAAAGTAGCTGAGGTCTTCTGTTCCACAAGGATTGTGTTGATATTTGGAAGTTTAAAACAAAGAGGAGTGAAGTAAAGGAAAAACACACCAGAAAGCAGTTGGATGGGATACTGATTGGGAGGAAAAAAAGGATATTTTAAGGGACACTGAAGATTCAAGTGAGATTCTACTGAAGAAGCTACTCACCTCCATTTTTACCTTTAACCGCACTCTCGGAAAGACTTTGCTTAAAGTTCAGTGTTCAGCCTCTGTGGACAAGCTGGGAAATGTTGCCAAGAACTACCACATTTTTCCTGTGGCCCATGGAAGCAAGCAGGGAAATGAACACAAGTCTCTGGGAATCAGTTACTGGTCTCTGTTATTTAGATAGTGTACGAGGTGACCTTTGGAAAGAGAGTTTAAATGTGTTTATTACCCTAGGTTGATCAATTTGATTTGCTTGTGGCACCCTGTGAAACATAAAATTTATTTCCAAACATGGTACTGTAGAGAGATCAGAGATGAGTGGAGTCCCCACCTCTCCCTTGGACAGAGACCGACTAGGCGTTCTCCAGAGACAGCAAGGTGTCAGCCTCCTCCCTCGCCTTTCCTCTTCAGCTGCCCTTGCCCACCCTGCGTTCATCGGGAAATAGAAAGCAAGGCTGGTGAGCCGCTCCCCCACGCAGAAGGAAGTAGGGAACCCCACGCAGAAGGAAGTAGGGAACACGCACGGTGAAGAGTTTGGTGTTCCCAAGAGGAGCACAAAAGCCTGCAGACCCACTTTTGGACTTGTCCCCAGATGTAATTATGGAATATATTTTATTTCCCTTTTTTTGGTTCTTTACAGTTAGAACTTATTTTTAATAGCAGTCCAAATCATAAAATAAATATCTCTACATATAAGTGGTTTATTTCACGGCAGCCTCAATCATGTTCTATAAGAAAACCAGGCAACTGCATTTAAAATTATACATTTTTTTTTCACCTCTAAATTGGAGATGATTCTGCAGAAGAAATGAATTCCCAGAACTACATGAATGCAGGGGTGAAATCCAAACCGCGACTTCCTTCTGCTCCGATGGCTCAGAAGTTGATGGGAATAGGCACTCGTTGGGCTGTGCTGCCCTCAAATGGTGCAGTAGGGGAATAGCCCGCTATTTTCTGGATGCAACCTGGGTTACCATCCAGGCCTGTTTTGACGTAGCATTAACCCCTGAACTAAACAAATCATTGTATGGCGAGTCAAGGTAGGTAATTACGAGGAGCACAAAGGAAACGGTGTATTTCCAGATATTACCAAAAGGTCATATCAGGGAAATGCTCAACAGCAACAACCGCAAGCTTGTGTTTAATTATAGCAATTGGCTGCCTGTAAGGGGTCGGGAGGTCTAGGTCGCGAGCTATGAGCTGAACTGGCTCCCTTATTCCTCTGAGGACAGTCCCCAGATCTCCTATGGCAACTCCTTCATCAGAACTCATGACATCATGCTCTCTGGAGACATCCAGTTGTTTGGAAACAGTGCATTCAGGGAACAGTTCAATGTGGCCAAGACTTTGGCCATGTGGCCAAGACTCTGCAACACGCGGCCAGTAATTGTGGTGAGTACAGTGATCACAGACGGCTGTGAGAGGAAGGACTGTCGGGAGGCCCTGACAGGAAGCTCTGCAGGGCACTGTGATAACTGGTCACCATTCAGAACCTCTGATGCCTGTAATCATCTTCCTCCGTTGTTTATGGAGAAAGGAGACCACCCAGTTACCAGAGCTGCAGCTCAGTGCCCTGCTGGGCTCTGTGTTGGGCACATGGGTGGGTTTAGCCACTCAGCTAGACAGTCTTTTTGGCACGCAAGGGCCAGGTTCAGATGCCTGGCATGCTGGCGTCAGGGGTCTCATGCACTGTTACTGGTACTTAGGATGATTAGGTTGTGGATCTTTTATAATAATAATGTTTCGGTATGAAAATGTTAATTCTCTGAAACTGCTCTTGGACACAGTAATGAACTGGGCCAGCCCAATGAGCAGGACTAAGAACCCCACAAAGAACCCCTGAAAGCCAGGATGGAGAATCAGCCTGGCCATAGCTGGCCTGCGTGATGGTGACAGTCGTGTAACATCTAGGAGTTCAATGTACTCATCTACAGTGTGACATTTAGCGCAGATGTATGCCTTATGTGGAAAGGGGAGGCCACACCAGCTACTGCAAGGCTGAGACGCAACAGGCAGATCCACTTCTCCTCCCCCAAGCAAATCAGACCCACTTCTCCCTATTTTATAAACTAGAATTTGAAAAGTGCTTAATTAGGCAGCCTGTGTGTCCTTCCTTCTTAACTACCGTGTCGTGGGATGATCGATAATTGAATGCGGATGGTAACCCTGAGTTCCTCTCCTCCTGCCCTCCCCCTCCTCCTCCTTTTTTAGAAGTTTTGGTGAATCTGCCTATGGTTTCAAGCCCAGTTTCTCATAAAATGAGGGTGACATTTATCGAGCATATATTATAGACAAGACATTGAAGAAACTATGGATTCTGAAGCATGTGTGCCGGGCTCAGGGGGAAGGAAGGACAGTGGCTTACTGTGGTCTCACAGGACTAAAGAGCACAGCCCAAGCAAGGAACAAGGTAGCGCTTACCAAGCAAGCACCAGGCAGCCCTGCAATGTGCGAATGTGCATAAAAATGGCTGTACTCTGCCGCAGATGTCGCAGACACTTTCTGATCGCTGGAACGCATTACCTGACCCCTGCAAGCTAAAGGAGAAGAGGTTGATTCTGCTCATGTCCTTAGTCCAAAGTCAGCTGGCTCCGAGGCAGGATGGCGGGGCCCAAGGGCGTGGCGGAGGCATAGCTGCTCACCCATGGGGGTCCGGGAGCAGAGAAGAGAAGAGCCGGGGAAGGAGATACGGCCTTCCGGGCACCATCCTCAGTGACACTGTTCATTCTGACCAGACCTGCCTGCGAACAGTGAGTCTGCTATAAACGCTCATAACACACTCGCCTTTCAGAGGCCCCGCCCACGAGTGCAGGAGGCCCTCGGGGACATCTAGATATAAAACAGAACAGCGGGAAAGCCGCATTGAGTAGGGGCCTGGGCAAGGTGAGAGCAGGGGCGAGGACCGACTCCCTGCAGCAGTGCTGAGGGAGACAGACGTAAGGGCAGAATGGGCTCCAAAGGAAAGCTACATTAAAAGGATTTGAGAAATCAGGATTTCTGGAAATAGAGGAAAAGTTCTATATTGTTTTTGCATCTACATGTCAGTAGTAGTAGTAGCCATTATTAATATAATACTTATTTTCATTTAAAGCTTTCCCTTCAAAACAAGGCACAATGTAAAATATTTACAAGTTTATTTCTCAACGACCAGGAGTGTTCTTTTCCTGTAGTGTTTCATCTTGATTGTCCAAGTGTGGATGAGTACTATTGAGCTCAGTTCTCCTTTCTTTAGAATAAGAAAGGGGACAACTGAACACCATACCACGGGACTCAGGACCATGACACACCCACTGTTGCCATCAACCGTGCTGGAGTGAGCTGCGTTTGGACTGGGCCCTCAGGCAGGGGCAGCATTTCGGTGGCAGAGACAGGAAAGAGGATACGTCCGGCAGGACGCACAGGACGCCCTGACAGTGGCAGGCTGCGTTCGGGGCACTCAGAGATGGCAGAGGAGGGTGGGGCAGGGGTGGGAGGCGAGTGTGGGCAGGAGGTGGGGACTGAGTCTGAGGGAATGAGGTTGGGTGTGGGGCTTTTTTAAAAACCGTTTTAAAACTGTTTTTTGTTTTGTTTTGTTTTACAGTACTGGGGGTGAATCCAGGGCCTCTGCGCTGAGCTACACCCCTGGTCCTTTTTTATTTTTTACTTGGAGACTATTTTGTGCTGAAGGAATGAGAGGCACACAGGGCTGCAGGCAGCAAAGCCAAGAATGGAAAGATTTGAGGACAGAGACCCACCACATGCACCTGATTCCCAGGTTAGTCCCGGCATGAAAGGATAAGTGACGGCACTGGAAGGGGGTGAGAATGTGCATGCGTGTGTGTGAGTGTGGGGAGGATGTCACCGGAAAATGGAGTTCAATTCAAGGGCACTTCATAGTGCGAGAAGGTTAGAGCCCTACCCCTAAGAAAGGTTGCAACCATTTTTCAGCAGACAAACTGAACGTGCTGTAGGGTTTAGTATGATGTCTCAGGTATATTTACAGGTATTCAGTATGATGTACGCAGGTATGTTTCTAGGGTTGGCTAATCCCAGGCTTGGCATCATTTAAAAATATTTTTAAAGAAAAAGTGAATAAAAGTCTGAATCAAAGAGATGTGATTGGGACTACTAATCATTACCTTAGAGGTGATGTTGAGTATGTTTCCATTTGAATAAATTATTAGAGTAAGTGGGAAATCCTGCTGGAATACAGACATACAGGCCATAAACAGAATAAAGTAGTAAATTACCCCAATTATTCATAAGTCAGCTGACCAGGATTCTGAGCGGCCAAAATTTCCCTGCAAACCCAGCCATGCCTGATTTCTCCCTCTGGGCTCCTCTGCCATCCACAGGCTCGGTGCCACCTTGTTCACAGTGTCGATTGATCGATCCTATTCTTGGGCAGGAGAAATTTCAGCAGCCCAGGCAGGGGGCAGAGAGCCCAATATTAAATGGCTAGCTGCACAGCACCCACTTCATTTTGCCTTCACACTAGCTCCATTTATAAAGTATTTTTCATTTCCTCCATTTTTATGATGGAGGAAGCCAATGCCTGAAAAAGTTAAGGAACTTGTGCATTGTTGCACAGCCAGCCATGGGAGAGACTCAGCACTACAGGCTTTTCCTTGGGCTCTCTGGGTGCACATATTCTTAGCCCTGTGCTCTTGCAGACATAGCACTGGGTCATGCTATACCAGACAGCTTTGACTGGGTGTCCTGGTTTCAATGATTATGCATTTGTCTTGTCCCAGACAACCAATCCCGCAGTTATTATTGTTCCTGCCTATCCTGTTTTTTGTTGGTTAAATGTATTCTTGATAAAACTCATGAAAATTATTAGTACTTAGCCATGTACAGTGTTTGCTACAGCAGTTCTGTCTTCTCTAAAGCAATCCCTAAAGTCCACAGCATTGCCCTTTATAAGTCTGCAAAGGCGTAACTTCTACTCAGGATTCAGCAAGGCTGGTGTGAGGTAGCAGGCTACCATCCAGGGAGTGAGCCTAGCAGATCGCACCCACATGTGGTCCAACATAGCTGTGCTCAAGGACTGAGGTCTTTCCTGTCACCTCCTCCTTCCCGGGATGCCCTGCCCCTGCATTCCAGCTGCTTAGTAGACTGCATTACCTGATGTTAGCAGCTATCTCAGGTGCTGTTTGTCTGCATCCTGCATGATGACTGCCTTGGATTTTCCCCACTTCTCATCTGTATACCAGCCCCCTCAGACTCTTGACATATGGTTTAATCTTTCTGAAAAAAAAAAAAAAAATTGCTTGTCAATGTGCTGCCAATTTTTTTTTGCTATATTTGTCCCAAACTGTATTCTATGGAATGGAAGCACATTAAAAAGTTTTAAGTCAGGGGCTGGGGATATAGTTCAGTGACACAGCGCCTGCCTGGCAAGCGTGAGGTCCTGAGTTTGATTCCCAGCACCCTCCCCAAAGTTTTAAATGAAACACTTGGATATAATCCAGTGGTAAGAAAAATTATTATTAATTCCTAAGAATGTTATGGAGATTAGTCAGGGTGCAGGGAGACACTAAAGGCAGAGGAAATACTAAAGCATTAAAGTTGTCCAAATATGAAGGAATGAGAACCAGATGGGGGTTTATCTGAAATAATCCATGGGAAGGACAGAAGAGACTCCACTGGAAGCAGAACTGTGGGCTCTGGATACACAGAAAAACGGGAATCGGAAGTGACTGCGAAGTCACAGTAATGATGAGGTCAAGGAATCTAGAGAAGAATTCGGAACTTTTGAGGAAAACCCCCTCAAGTCCAACCTCCTGTCCCATGATTTTCTCAGATTAGAGGGTGGTGCTAGTGAGTGATCAAGTCAAAGACTGTGTCAAAAGCAATTGAATTGTTGAAATGAGATTAGAAGATAAAGGAGAGGTCAGGGATAAATGCACTCACGTGGATAGGTGTGGGAAAGGAAGGCACAAATGTGGTGGAGTGAACTGTGAAGGAATCCAACCTCATCTGGCAGGAAGTCCACAGTTCCATGCAGTATTCTGAATCTAATGTTTACAGGGCCAGCAGCCAAGGATTGGCAAGGGAGTCAAAGGTGGAGCAACCATTCATAAACAAGAAAATCTGTTACAGAATGTGGCTCTACAGAGAGCTGCCTCTTCAACTAATATGGAACCTGTAGGGCCTGAGACTGCTGATGAAATAGTGACTGTGAGGATCTCCCATCGCATCCCACTGGAAAAGGCTACAGATACAGCTGCCAGGCCTGATTCCCTTTGGGGACTGACATTTTCTTTCCCATCAAAGATGAGGCAAAAATACCTCTCTTCTTAGGTCAGATGTCACAGTGCTTAATTCTCATTCTCAGCTCTCCTTTCCAACATGTCATGTGACCAAAGACTTGCAACTTATTGTTTTAAGTCAGTGCTTGTCAGCTGTAATATGGGAACAATACTCACCACTTTATCTTTTTATGAAGACAAATCTTAAATCTTAAAACAGTTCAGGGAAGAATTTACACTTCTAGAAACATGGAGTGGTACTGGATTGCTTATGTCCATGTGGTTCCTTCCATTTCTATGTTCATCAGATACTGATGGATGCTGCTGATTTAACTTTTATGTAGCTTCAAGACTAAACTAAGCTTCTTTTAGTTCCAATTCTAATTGAAATTTGAAAGTTGTGTCTAAGGAAATGAAGGAAAGGAAGAAAAAAAGATGTGCATATTTATGGTGAGTAGAGAACTTTTTGTATATGAACCAGCATCTTCCCAAATGTATGCTGAATTCACAAAATAACACTCACAGGTGAAGTTTTCAATGAAAAAATATGAAGCTTAAAAAGTAAGTGGAAAATATTTGGCAAGATATATATTGACATTTGATGAGAGGAAATTCTTTATGATAGTTGGCCAAACCTCACATGCACAGGAACTAACCCATCCCAGATCACAGTGACAGCCATTCCCAGATGTCATCTGTGTCAGTCTGTGGCTTTCTCGTCTAATGCGCCACCATCACCCTTCGAGAAAGCTGGTCTCCGTGTGCACACAGTCTGTGAGTGCTTATGAACACACTTAGTACACGTGAATACCTTGTGAGTGCATCATTAAAGGCATGAAAAATCTCCTCTAATACATAAACTACTTGCTGAAATGCAGAGAAAGTCTGGCATCTTAGGTACTATAATTAATTCTCTTCTCTAAGATATATTTTTAGAGTGGTGAATGAGCCAGATCTTATAGATGATGACCTATGGCCAAACAGATAAACAGCAGAACAGAAATTCGAGCTCATAACTGGTTCACTCAGGAGTTCAAATGTATCTATTCTACTTGATACTTTTCAAGAAGAAAAAGTATGAAAGGAAAGATAAAGCAAGAGGGAGGTGTAGATAACCAGTTTCTAATATATGTATGTATGTATATGTATATGTGTATATATTTGGACCCATGGTATTTAATTCATTTCTGACTTTCAAAGAAAAGGCATTGAAATTATGAACTACCCATCACAAGATGAAAAGTAAACCAAGCATCAGGGAGATTTTTGTAGTTTGCTGAAGTCTCAGAGTTAGTACATGGGAGAGTCAATATTCAAATTGCAAAATGTGTGACCTGAGATGTAGACAATGGGCCAGACTTTGGCACCTATGCTATCTCTCTCTCTCTCTCTCTCTTTTTTTTATACCGGGAATCGAACTCACAGCTTCGCACTTGCCAGGCAGGTGCTGTGCCAGCTGAGTTATATCCCCAGCCTCCTATGCTACCTCTTTAAACTTGATGACAGTCCTAGGAGGAGGATGCTAGAAGTGATGGAGAGAAACTGGGTCAGAACTAAGACAGATTTGCCAAGCTCCTTTATGAGCTAGATTAGACAAAATAGCTCTTACATTTTTTGGAGGAGGTAGACACACAAAGGGAAATATATATATATAAGGTGTTTTATCTTCCCACGTGGAAAACACAAAGGGATCAGGTTTTGCTTGGGAGCTCAAATTTCTTTTTTTCTGTTGTTCTTCAGTCTTTTTTCTTTTTCATATGTGTTAATGTGGACAGCAGAATTCCCACATCAGAATTTCTATGCAGTGTTCAAGTTCTGTGCCGTGACCCACAGAGGCGTCAGGGTCATTTTCCGAAGACAAGGCTCTCAGGGGCCACACTATGAGGGTTCTCCGTGGGAAATCACTGGTGCTAGGAAAACTTGCTCTCCTTTTCTTGCTTTCTCAAAAAAGGAATTGCCAGTGGGGCAAAGTGAGGTGTAATGAAAAATACAATGGATGTGTAAATTTAAAAACATTTATTATAATAAAAGACACATTGTTATCAGTCTCCCTCAAAATGTGTCCCCCCTCACTTTGAACACACTTCTCCCATCATTTTGCCACTTTCTGAAGCAATTCTGGGAGTCCTTTCATGAGTGTTCCCATTTGCACTGTCATGGTTGCCTCTGTGTCCTGATCTAGTGGGCGGATGAGGACACAGTGTAATGTTTTTATTTCACAGAAGTGGTTCTAATGTTTGGTCAAGGAAGGGTGATCACAAAATGCAGTGAAAGTTTAAATAAAAAAGTTATTGTGGAAGAGAGACACTGCTGCTAATCATCTTAAAATACTCAGAATACTCTCCCTTGTTTTATATACTTAACCCATCCTTCTTGGCTATGTATCTTTAATTGTACTAAGTTTTAAAAATTTAAACACTCATTACATTTTTCAGTCTTCCCTGATATAATACTTCTAGATCTCTTCTCGATGTACTCCACTTGTGGGAAGAGTAGCTAATTTGGTAGAAGGAAAGCCTGA